TCTATCCCCACTATATAAAAAGAAGAATGTGAAGGTACTGTAGAAAGCAACAGTGTTTTAATCCATTTTGTCTCACAGTAGTATTTTTAATTTTTTTTTATTAAGTGGTTGAACAAAAACGACGTCGTTTGCTTTATATATATTTTATTATACACTACCTCCAAATTTACTGCAACACGCAATTTGCATTCCTCCCACCACTCTAATAAAGATATATATAGTAAGGATATAAGAAAAAAATTACTTTTATATAAAAATTAAATTAAATAAAAAGATAGAGATAATATGATAGAGTGCTTCAATTTATAAATAGCTCTTGGACATTAGAAGCGGATACAATTTTCAATGAAATTATACTTTTGAGTTGTAGGCCAGGAATTAAAGTGTTCAATGTATTGCTCAAATGTTGTTTTAGAAAAGGCCTCTTGGAACTTGCAGATAAAGTTTCGAGAGTTTTTTTCTTTTCACACTATACAGAGAGATAGTTTGTCATCTCTCCGCACTTTGCGGAATCTTTTTTTTACTCATGTACGGAGATTTTTTTGTCTCGTGGAGTTTAATATATACTAAAATTATTATTATTTTTTAATGTTGTTGGCATGATGCGCGTGTAGAAGAATATTTGTCAATCACCATAAACAAAATTCTTCACAAAATGTAAAAAATAAAAGTGCATAATAAATCTTCTTATTACGTTAATAGAATTACAATAATTTTTTTTTTTTACAAATAACATAAAAAAATCATTTTTATTTTCAACAAAAAAACGCATTTAAAAATTAGCAATTTCATAACCAAATTTTTTTTTAATGTTCGAAAATACAATTATAAAAAAGGAAACAATATTGAATTACAACATTAAATACTTAAGAAATTCAATATTAAATAAATTTTATATATTTATAACAAATTATAAATCCATATATGTAGCTTACCATATTTGCAGGCAACTTACCGTATATGTTGCCTACTGTATTTTCAGCCTACTATATTCGTAAATAACTTACCGTATTTTGCACCTTACCGTATATGCTGCCTACCATATTTGTAGCTTACTGTATTTTTATATACCGATTTTTGCACTTACAAATACCAAGAATGCAGAACACCGTATATTCATTTACCACACCAAATTTCAAAAAAAATTTCCTGATTTTTATTTTTTCAATATAAGCATAAAATAAATATTAAATATATATGAAACACAAAATATAAATACATATGAATATGGTGCTGAGAGAAATCAGGATCGTAGTTTTACGTTACAATAATTTTTTTCAATTTAAAATTCTTTTTAATTATTTTCTCTTCAAATTTTTTACTTACAAGTAACTTTTTTTAAAATATTTTCTGTCTTATACTATCTTTATTTTTTAATTTTTTGGGAGGTACGAAAATTGCGTGTTGCAATGTTTTCTTACAGTATAAATATTTTTTAATTAAAATTGAAAAAAATAAGTTTTTTCATGAAGAAAAAAGAATTAAAAAGTATTTTAAATCGAAAAAAATATTTATAATATGAACAAAACAAATAAAAAATAAATAAATGAAAAAAATATAAAACGAAAAAGAAATCTCTATGCATCCTGCGCTAATGTAATGAACCAAACGACGTGAGTGACTATTTGATCTAACACGTTTCACACATTATTTGATTGCACTCAAAAGGTTACGATTGGAAATGTGATTAATATGTTAATCATTTTCTACATTTCTGCTCATTTGAAAGATTTATATAATCTTCGTATATATATAAAAAAATGATCTGTATTTTATGTATTTATTTTATGAATATTAAAAAAGTTAAGTTGATTAAATGAAATTAAATTGTTGTACTGAGAGTCAATGAAAGAAAAAGAAAGAAAAGAAATGCACGTTGGACACCTCCATAATAACGAAGGCTCATGCTTGAGCCTCCATATTATGGAGGCTTTCCTCTATAAAGCCTCCAAAAACCTCCATAATACGGAGGCTTTATGGAGGCCTCCATAAAGCCTTCATATTATGGAGGAAGTCTCCGTATCATGGAGGCTTTCCTCCATAATAATGGAGACCTTCCTCCATAAAGCCTCCATAATATTTTTTTAATATATATTAAAATTATTATTATTTTTTTATTGTTGTTGGTATGATGTGTGTGTAAAAGAATATTTATCAATCATTATAAACAAAATTCTTTACAAAATACAAAAAATAAAAATGCATAATAAATCTTGTTGTTGGCATGATGTGTGTGTGGAAGAATATTTGTCAATCATTATAAACAAAATTCTTTACAAAATACAAAAAATAAAAATGCATAATAAATCTTCTTATTGCGCTAATAAAATTATAATAAATTTTTTTTTTTTTACAAATAACATAAAAAAATCATTTTTATTTTCAATAAAAAAAACACATTTAAAAATTAGCAATTTCATAACCACTTTTTTTTTTAATTTTTGAAAATACAATTATAAAAAAGAAAACAATATTTAATACTTAAGAAATTCAATATTAAATAAATTTTATACATTTATAACAAATTATAAATTCATATATGTAGCTTACCGTATTTGCATGCAGTTTATCGTATATGTTGCTTACCGTATTTGCAAACAACTTAACGTATTTTGCACCTTAACGTATATGCTGCCTACCATATTTTCACCTTATCGTATATGCTGTCTACCGTATTTGCAACTTACCGTATATGCTGTCTACCATATTTGCAGCTTACTGTATTTTTAGATACTGATTTTTGTACTTACAAATACCGAGAATGTAGAACACCATAAATTCACTTACCAAACCGAATTTCAAAAAAAAATTCAGATTTTTATTTTTTCAATATAAGAATAAAATAAATATTAAATATATATGAAGCACAAAATATAAATACATATGAATATGGTGTCGAGAGAAATCAGTATCATAATTTTACGTTACAAATAATTTTTTTTCAATTTAAAATTCTTTTTAATTATTTTCTCTTCAAATTTTTTACTTACAAGTAACTTTTTGTAAAATATTTTCTGTCCTCTTCAAATTTTTTACTTACAAGTAACTTTTTGTAAAATATTTTCTGTCTTATATTATCTTTATTTTTTAATTTTTTGGGAGGTATGGAAATTGCATGTTGCGGTGTTTTCTTACTATATAAATATTTTTTAATTAAAATTTAAAAAATTAAGTTTTTCCATAAAGAAAAAAAATTAAAAAGTATTTTAAATTGAAAATAATATTTATAATATGAACAAAACAAATAAAAAATAAATAAATGAGGAAAAAATAAAAAAAGAAAAAAAATATCATGCATCCTGCGCTAATGTAATGAACCAAACGATTAGATTTCACCAAATACTTCGAATCTTCAACCAAATTTAAAAAATCTACAATTTTGACGCTAATAAAAATACAATAAATACAAAACTCGTTCAACTGTCAAAGACTAGTTATTATTTAATACATGAATATATGAAGTTCTAAAAAGATTGGAATTTATTGTTGTTTACGTAATTGATGTAAGTTAACCAAATTACTAACATTTCTTAGTACGTAAGTTCATGGGTGTTTTTAATAATATTGTTACAAATTAGCATGATTCTCTCTAGTATTGAAGTATGACACTTAAATTCTTGTATTCGTATTGTTGTAATTTTTTTTTTTTTTTTATAACTCAGGTGTTCAAGCTTCCCCTAATTAATCCTGAAGAGTGGCTACATTTCCCTTTGGTTCGCCATCCAGATAAGTCCAGATGCGGTCACAGTTTATACACAGTTGGGCTGGACATTGGATTTGGGGATGCGATTCTTATCCATATAAACCTCTCTTTACGACGTGCAGACAGGACCCCGAGAGGGGCGACAAAGCGCACAATAACTTTGCTTCTACAGGACAACTGCCTTAATTATACTTATAGAGGAGGAAAATCTAAATTTTGGTCCAGATTTCCCACGCCATTTACTCTTCGATTTCTCGTTTATTACACAGAAATACATGTAAATCTTCACTTGCTTATTTCTTAATATTTTCAGTGCTGAAAACTCATTGAATTTGAACCATATGCCCTTTATCTTCTCATTCTTGCTTCTGCGAGCAAGAAAAAAGGGAAGTTTTCTTCCTAATGAATTTTAGGGAAACCATGAAGATCATCAATGCAGAGTTTGTCCATGATCTCACCATTCAAGAAAATTGCATGAGTTTTTGTTAATATCCATGGAGCCCTATGCATATTACATATAGAATACCTAAATCAGTATCCTAGCTGGACTAGGCATACACATATAGCAAGTGCAGGATTGACAGTTTTTTGACTTTTTTTCATACAAGCATTAGTAGCATAAAAAAATACATTCCTTGTATTAATATGTTTGCTCGCGACAATTGTGAACTTTCGGAAGAATCGATGCGGTCCGTACCAAAATCGTGCTTTACCTCCAGATGTCCAATCAATTGAGAGAACCAGCTAACTCCAAGGTTCATATAATACCAAAAATATGGCGCGAAGAGGGTGCAAAATGTCCCGTCTTGCGATTTTTTTAATTTTTATATTACTTTTTTCAGACATAGTCCTTTTACGCTTTTTTGAGGTTTCCTTGCGCTTTTTTCCATTAATTACTAATTGATTTTAGTTTGATTTAAAATTTAAAATAATATTATGATAAGAAAATATCTTTCTATGTTTTTTACGGTTAGACTTGCCTAACTCGATATCTTTCTATGTTTTTTACGGTTAGACTTTGCCTATGTTCACCTAACTTGCTTAACTCGAAACTTGGTCTCCACGCCTCGCTGCTATTTACGTTTTTTAAAATACTTCTAAAAACAAGCATTTATGGAAATTGTTAGAAGGGCCATATAGATTCAATATAATCTCATTTTTGCTCAACGCACAGTCCCATTATTTCAGTCAAATATATAATTCTCACCTCTTAAAAATTACGATCGATTCAGTGTCTTAAACCAATCAATGTTTCAACGGGTTCGATAAATATGAAGTTGACATATGTGATCACATTACATTTCATGACTAATCTTTTGTCCAAATAGCAAGAGAGAGAAAAGTAGCCAAGTCATGGTATCACTAACCTAACCAGCCAATTCTCGAATCAAACCTACATACGCGTCAAATCTTCCATTGTAACAAAGACAACGTCAATGATCAACATCAGCAAAGAAATTGTTGTAAGACTTTGTGGGTAATGTTATACCCTTTAGCACAATCAAGAAAATCTAAGTGAGAGATGAAGAACAGAAACAGGGGCAAAGTTTCACCCGAATGGATTGTGATTCTATGCATTTTCAGCTTCGCCCTTGGCACGTTTTTAAGCAACAGGTTTTTATTCTTTTTGTCTATAAATTTTCGATTTTTCTTTCATTTTTTCCTCGTAGTTCACAATATTAATGATTCATGCATTGAAATCCATGCACTGAGTCTGGTTTCACTGCTGTTGTCTGTAGTATTTATGAACTTTAATGGTGTTTCACGAAAAATAATTATATTTATGAATTCGTATTGAAGTTTCGGATTTTCTTGTTTATAGAATATGGGTTGTTCCCGAATCGGAGGATCAGATCATGCCCATAGGACGACGACCAGAAATTTTGGCTGCTAATTCCGGTGACTGTGCGACAGAAAAGGTTTTCTTCGTTAATACTACGTTCTGTTTTCAATCAAAAGCCTATTGGTCTATATGATTTAATTAATTCATTTATGTTTGCCAATTTCTATTTATCTTTTGAGTAATAACAAAATCCATGCAGTGAATCCCAAATCTATTTTTCACGCACGTTTTAGTTTGTAGTTATTATGAATTATCGATTCTATTTCAGGATAAGGAGGAACTGATTGGAGAGTTTAGCAAAGCGCATGAAGCAATCGAGTTAGTACACTGCATTAAAAATGTTCAAACAAAAGAAAGACTACTGTTGAAAAATGGAAAATTAAAGAATTTCTTTAAGTCGTCTAGTTGCTTAAAAAAATCCTGTATTTGTTAAGAACTTGTTAATGTTTTGTTAATTTTCTAAGTTGTGTAATTCCTTGGAGGCATGTTAGATCATTGGACTCTTCGATTGCTAAACTGCGTATGGAGTTGCCTTCAACAAAGAATTCTCGCAAAATCGGGAAGTTTGAAAACTTTAGTACAATTTTGCATCCGGGCAGTAATGAGACGAGGAAAAAGACATTCATGGTTATTGGTATAAACACAGCATTTAGTAGCAGGAAGAGGCGTGATTCAGTTAGAGAAACCTGGATGCCTCAAGGTGGTGTTACTTCATTGTGTTCTTTGAGGCATGTTTTTATCCTGATCTTTTGTTTAATGTTGCTCTTACTTTCTTGACTAGGTAAAAGTTTACTTCAACTTGAAGAAGAAAAGGGGATTGTTGTTCGTTTCATGATCGGCCACAGGTAATTTTGTATAATGCCCACTAGACTTAGTCGAAGTGATAAACTGTTATTATCTTTCATGCTCTTGTACTACATAGTTTATCATTTTTATGTCTAGTAGCTTGTCCTTACATATACATCAAGCAATCTGCCTGTCAGACTTATATTTGAGTAATGCAGTGCAACATCCAACAGCATTCTCGATCGAGCAATTGACTCGGAGGACTCTCAGCATAAAGACTTTCTTAGGCTTGTAAGTATAAATAGAGTCCTCGATATCCTCTGATTAAACTAGATTCTGGGTCATTTCTATGATGTGTATGTTTTGTAAGCTTAAAAGATTACTAACTTCGGAAGTAAAAGAAAAATTTCTCAGTCAAAGATGAAAACTAGTTATGTTAGAAGTAATTGCTATCCTGTTGTCAACTTAAACAACTTATAGGTAAGAAAAGCATAAAATGTTTGGATATACTTAAAAGTAAATTGATTTCCTTTTAAGGTTAGCCAAACAGTTAATACATTATTTTGCAGGAACATATTGAAGGATATCATGAGTTATCAGCAAAGACAAAAGCATTCTTTTCTACTGCAGTTGAAAAATGGGACGCTGAGTTTTACGTCAAGGTGGATGATGATGTTCATGTAAATTTGGGTACACTTTCTTTCCTTTTCTGTCCATTTCTTGATCTATAGACTGCTGGGAACTAGAACATTCTCAGATGAAATTCATTTGAAACCTTAGTGGTTCAAAATTTTAAGATATTAATCAATGACAATGCAGGCACGTTAGCTGCAACTCTTGCTCGTTACCGCTCGAAGCCTAGAATATATATTGGATGTATGAAATCGGGGCCAGTTCTTCATCAAAAGTAAATTCTCATACTTAACACTCTCGTTTGAAATGGCCTATTATACTTGTGCTAATTTACATTTATATATCAGATGCCATGTTTTCATATTAAGGTATTGTCTCCTGATAGGAACGTTAAATACCATGAACCCGAGTATTGGAAATTTGGAGAGGAGGGAAATAAATACTTTCGACATGCATCTGGGCAGATCTATGCTATCTCAAAGGATCTGGCAAAATACATCTCCATCAACCAGTAAGTCATCTCCTCTCCAAACAATTTTTCCATTTGTTCTCTTTAAATGAAATACAAAATGTATGTCTTGATATGGTAATGGTTGCATTTAGTCTCTTGCATAGACAACCCAATCGACTTATTAAGGGTTGGACGAAAACTTTAAAAGTCACAAATAATGGTTTAACTGACGGATAGTTGTTTATACATACCTTTCTCGTGATTTTTTTTAGGCCTATTCTGCATAAATTTGCTAATGAAGATGTATCACTTGGAGCATGGTTTATCGGTCTTGAAGTTGAGCATATTGATGATCGCAACATGTGCTGTGGAACTCCACCTCGTATGCAGTATTCTTTACCTTTTCCTCTTATTATTTAAATAAACATCATTATTCTTGAATTTTTTTTCTTCTTGAGTCCATTAAGAATCATAGTTTCTGTGCAGAATGTGAATGGAAAGCACAAGCAGGTAATGTTTGCGTTGCATCATTCGACTGGACCTGCAGTGGAATTTGTAAATCTGTGGAAAGAATGAAGGATGTTCATGCCAAGTGTGGTGAAGATGCTGCCACTCTTTGGAATGCTCTTATTTAGCATTACCGGCTAACTATAGAAGGGAGGTCGATCCAAACGTTACAGAATTATCATCTGTCTTCTTTTTTCCGTTATAACTATTAGCAAAATACACGGAGAAATTGTAGGAGCAGCTCGATGCATTGCACTGCAGATCTATCTATAGACAGAAATTTTCATTAGATTTTGAATTTTGGTCTGTTATAATGAATTCTCATATCAAGTTCACAATTTCTTTCTTCATCTGTGACTAGTCAGCCTTGGGCTATTTAACTCAAGGATCTGAAACGTACTGTGATTTCTACAAAACAAAGTCTGATTATAAGTTCAGTAGGCTGTCAACTACGTGAATGATGGACAACTGATCAAAATCGTAAGCTTTAATCAGATGAAAAATTGCAAGTACTTCTCTTCACTATAGTTCAGAATGTCTACAGATACGAATGGAAGAGACCACTTCTCCAATTCCAGACAACATCAAAATCGCTGTTCATCAGTAAAACGACGGGAAGTAAAATAAAGAACTTGGATGTAAAATGTACGATTTATAATCATGAACTAGAAATGATATCCTTCAGGCCTAACACGAATATAAATGTGCATGTTAAGCATCATTCACCAGGGTACATATTATTGTTCGACCAGATTGCAAATATTTGACAAAAACCAGGGAGCAGGTTCTCCAACTTTACAACTGACCAGCCTCTAGTTTTTCTTTGCTGATAGTTCAAATGCTCAATCGATGAATAGTGCAAGATATTTACTGTATGTGTAAATTTCCTCTTAACCTGTTTCTAATTTCCAAACTTTAGCTTTTCTGCTGGATATATTCCACTCATTCTACCTTCTTTCCGTTGCTTTGTTGATGAGAACTTCGAACTGCCAAACTTTTGAGTTTGATCAAACGGCTTAGTTTCTTTCGCATCATCCCCTCTGCTTCTGCAGTCATATTCAAGGTGCGTCAACAATATTGACACAATAATAAAGGAGATAAAACTCAGAAGATGTCCGGGATGATAACCAAATAAAGTCATATCGAATAGACAAAAGAATACACACCTGACGTGAAACAAGAATAATAACACACCAACAATGGCCGTGCCTTTAACAACTGTTTTCAGAAGTTGCTTTCGACCATGCTTCACTGGAGAGAGTTTGGGACTCGTAACCTTTCTTCCATCTGAAGTATTTTCTGCCAAAACCTCCACGTTGTGTTCTTCATCCTAAATAAGCAAAAGAGAATCATTGCAGGTTACTCGCAGACAAATATAGTCCTTCAGATATAAAACTGACATTTTGTTGATGATCACCTGAATTCCATTGTCAGAAACATAACAAGTAGTCTCATTATGACCGGATAGTTGGCATTTGTGCTGAGATGAAGATAAGACTACGGTAGAAATATCCAAATTTTTATGTACAAATTCAGGTTCTAGGATATTACTCGCTGACGTGCATGGTTGCTTTTCAAACTTATCTGTCTTTTGGGTTTCACACAATACAAACAACTCTCTACCCTGCTTGTCAGCCTCAATTTCCATTGATTCAGAAGTGTAAATATTTGTAGTCGAAGGACTGTCTACATTAACGTTTGTAGATGAAGAATTATCTGTGTTAACATATGTAGATGAAGAATCGTCTACATAAACATTCAAAGTTGAAGAATCCTCTGCATCAAACTGGTCTTCAAAATCCAAGTCAAGCATCCGGCCTAACACAGAACTCATGCTAGTGGTGGATGATACTTCAATATCTTCGTCATCAGAAAATTTCCTTTGAAGTCCATTCTGAGTACTATTTTTGGAGGTTGATCCTTGAGAATCAACATTAAGGAAGAAATCAAAAAGATTGTTTTCTCCATTGAAGAAAAGAGGACTGCTACCATCAGTTGTTTGGACAATCATGTCGGAAAATGCCAAGTAATCTGAAATATAATTTCTTCCATTTCCATTGATGCTTGAAGTATCTCCTACCATTGAATCACCATTCTCAAGGGTAAAGTCGATGTCAGAAATATCCACTGCACCATTATTGTGGCTACATCTCACTTGATCATTTTTGGTGCAATTAGACGACCTTTTATCAAGCAGATGATCATTTTCAACATTTTCTGAACAAAGCAGTTTTATTGGCTCAAGTGAACGTGCTGATTCATGCGGGTCATGTTCGAATTCCTCAATACATGGGCATTTGACATCTGATTGCAGTACATTTAGTCTTTCCACATATTGTCCAACTTCTGGAGACGTTGCAGGTGAACTTTCCAACTCTGGATGTAGTTCAGCAGTAGCATCAAACTTGTTGGCAGATGAAGAAAAAGCATGTTCTTCTACATATCTGCTTTCTGCCTCATCTGACCCTTCAGATCGAGTATCATCGTATCTATCAGACTGCGCATAAAAAAATTTCTTCATTGCAGTAGGTGGGCAATAGCAGATTAGTGATTCGAAATTAAATATAACTCCCGTTTGGTACCCATTTTTTTCAAAATGCATTTTTCTCTCTCTTCTTTTTAACCACACATTCTTCATTAAAATAATATTACACGTAAATCAAAAACTTTTCTTTATTTTTCAACCACACATTTCCCATCAATTTACTATTCTAAAATGCATTTTTACATAAAAGTAACTCCCCAAACACCCTCATCATATAAGCAAAGATAATTTTTTTTATTTTTTTTTTCCCTCTTTGTTCTTCAAATTGCATTGGCCTGCTTGAGCAAGGATAAAATTGGAAAATAAAGTAGTTAAGGCCTCAACTAAAACACTGATCATCAAAGTCAAGCAAGCCAAATTTTGTGAAACAGATGAAGTAGCCAGTTGCTGACAGGTGATAGCAGTAACTATCAACTAATTCTCGAGGGCAAAGTTGATAAGTGAAATATCTGCAAACCTGTTTCAATTCTGTTCTGGAACCTTTATGCACACTGTAACTGGATGAACTTGAAAGGCTGCATTGTGATGATTCCAAGCTTCTTCGAATGCCTCCGACCATATCAGTGGGCATGTCTACCGTGTAAACAACCACATCAAAGTCCGGAACCTAACAAGAATATATATTTGATGAATTTTTGTGCATGCCTAGAAGGTTTTAAACAAATTTTGCAAAAATATAGGAAACTGCTGAAAACACTGGCAACAATAACCAGGAAGTGGATCTGGTATTAATAAAAACATCTTACACTTAGTTGCTTAGAACTGGCTTTCCTTGAGAGTGCTCTTATGCAAATGCAAACTTTTCGAATGTCTCGTTTCTCAACAACATCTGATGGTGAAAAGAGATCAATGCCATTCAATCCTAAAATTTTGCACATCTACCAAAAAAGGGTGAATTAAGAATATTAGCAATCATTTTTTAAACATTCTGCTTAAACAGGATATCATTGTCGGCACAGACTACCTGCTGCTCCTTGTAATTTTAAATACTAATAAAGTCCTTTCACAAGCTCAACAAAATACATTCAAACACTTTGATATGGACGTTTGTGCAAATTATATTCACTTCAGAACCCCATGCTCTTTACTCATTCCTTTCTCAATCATACCTATCATTGATGACTGTCACGAGGTGACCGTAACTTGGCTTGTTACACACAACAGATGTAGGAGAGCAGTTCAATAATAACATTGTTACATTCCTATTAGAGAGGGATTCAAGATTTAATAAGTTCACAACATAGAACTATCTTCTGAAAATGGCACTCTTCAATGCTTCGTTATGCATTTGGTTCAACAGAAAGAACATGCTGTAATGTGTACTCAGTAGTGGACACCATACAAGAAGAACTCTTCTTATGGAACTTCTTGTCTGAATCTGTGATTTTCTTCTTTAAATCTTGAAATGTGTATAGGAGATTTCACCTGTATCTATAATTGAGTTGACAAGTTTTTTTAATACTTGGTACAGAGATGAACCCTAAGGATGCTACGGCCACAAGTTACTCATGTGTCTGTGAAGTGGAAATAATATATGAGTATTATCTTTTTCTCCAAGGATTACAAAATCCCTGAAGTTCAAGACAATGAATGGTTCAATAAATTGCTCTAAAATGATACTGAAAAACTCAAAAGGCAACTATAAATACTTTAATAGCTTTAGCTCCAATTAGCAATTGTCAATTGAAAAATATTTACAAGTAAATTATGCAGAGATGGGGGCAAGGTTATGATGTGTTACCTTTAGAAATATATCAACATTGGAGTAAGGTCTGTATCTCCCTCTGATCTTCTTAGAGCCAAAGGGGCCATGTTTATGTTTGAAATGTCTAAACTCCACACATTTTGCCAACAGCAAATTCCATACCACTTTAGAAACTTCAAACCTAAAAAATCAGACAAGTCAAAATCATTGAACACAATGGAAAATTGTCTTGTAAAACAACTGACAACTTAACATTTTCTCATGCTTTATAATGTGCTATGTACAGCTCGAGATGATTTCCTTTTCTCTCCACCAATCAGCGCAAAAGACAAACCATTTTCATTACACTTGTGAATAATGGCATTGCTAAAATTACACACATAATTAGCTAGCTGGATTTAAAAATATGAATGAGTTCCTAAGAATTTTTCCAAAAAACTGCCTCAACAATGTTCACTTATAGATTCAAACTGTTTCACAAGGCAGTTCTGAAGGAAAAGAACTCCCAAACCACTAAATATCCATTCTTCCCCAATTTGCAATAATTAGTTGAAATTATAACATACAGCATTATCATTACTCATTCATCCCTTGTATTTGGATTTTCTTGCAGTGTTAATATTATCCATATCAAGAATATTTATTACATACTGATGGTTAATTAAATGCTGCATGTTTCTTGTTTCTTCAAAATTTCTTCACCTGTTCAGCAAGAAAAACGATATAAAGATTTTTATTTGTATTCAATATAGTAAAAATCTTGGGAGCCAATACTTCATTATGGCACTATAACATTTTCCTGATATTGGTATTTCATTCTTGAAAAAAGACTGAAGAACTATAATGGAACCCACAAACAGGTGCACCACCAATAAATACTGGCAAGCTGTTTCCCGTGCCAGGTGATTAAATTTCTAGGGAAGCAAAGCATGTTCTTCATTGAAATGAGTTTTTCCTTTCATTTTCGTATGGAAACTGATAAATTAAACATTAATTTATACTCAGAAAAAAATGAAGGGAAAACCTGCAGTAATTAGATTGTTGACAAATGAAAATAGAAAATGTTAATAAAATTCAAGAACTCACAGTAGCTCTCCATCTTGAAGCAAATCAGAAATATGCAAATCCTCATCCAATCTTGTATCAAGAACTTCTCCAAGCCATATTCTTGTTTGAGTCTGAACCAATTGAATACAAATAATGATATTCTAATAATCAAAATTGCAGATCAAGATAAAAATCAACTGTGGGAGCTTACATGTTACTCTTACATCTTGAATTCATAAGTGTTTCTATACACGAATAACAAGAAGTGAAGTTTGTTCCAAATAAACTATGGATGAACTAAATTAATCCTTTTCACCACTCCCTTTGATGTAATGTTACATCTATTAAAGGTCAAATCCAATCTTTTAGCAACCATATTACCTCAACCTCTTCTAACATATTCTACTGAGACTGCTAGCTTCTTTAGGTTTATGTGAGGCATGTCCCGACTATTAAGTTGTTCTGTCCTCCATTTGTTGACCTGCATACTCATTTCTTATTCTATCACACTATCCCAAAATCTAATTATGCTACATCCATCTTTATGATCTTGTGAACATTACGCCCCATTAACAAACCAATACTAAGTACTATAATCCATAACTGGTCTTGCAATCAACTAAATGTCCACAGAACTTGGTTGTTAACTAGGTATCTCTCTTCCAATTAACTAGATGTAGCACTTTCTTTTTTATTTTGTCCAACTCACTCGAATTTTATTCAGTACATTCTCTAGAAATGTTATTGTGATTGAACTACACAGAATAATCTTCTACTGCAACTATACCATCCTTGTAATTCCTACTACGAGGAAATTTAATCGATTCATCTTAGTAGTTAGCCTAACACACACACACACACACATATACATTAGATGTCTAAAATTACTCAAACTTTCCAATTCTCGATTTATTCTCCTCCCAACATCACCACTTAAAACTATAGCATCATCAAATAACATACAACAGATCATCTCCTAAGCTCAATTATGATCAACAGAACGTGATGGACTCAGAGTCAAAGAAACTTGCCTACTAGTGCCCCCACTAGATTCAAACTGTCAACTGTTCCGCCATCCTAAAGCAAATGCTTTTACAATATATCTCCCAGCCATAAAACCAAATGATTTCTCTAAAACCTCTAAATGACATATTAAGCTACAATCAATCAACCTCTCCGGTGAATATTATAAACAAAAATACAAAATCAAAAGGGACCTGCAAGAAAACATCATCAAGCTCCCGGAAGCTGGATTCGCCAGAAGACGGAGAAGAATCGGCGCTTACAGCGGCCACTGCCCGCCTGCCCATTTTCATATATCCCGCCTAAAACGCATCTCCCATCCAAACAACCAAGAATACAGTAGCACTTGAATGAGTGAATGAGAATGAAAATACAGTGACAGTATTAAATCTTGATTTATAATACTGTAATAGTGGCAATGAGGTATGAAGAGTGGCAGCCTTCTGGGATTTCCGTTTGTGTGTATGAAATTCGTCACTATTTTCCTGTGGTCGCAATTTTGCTGGACTTTTTTCAAATTCGTCACTAATCTTTCTGGAAAGTTGGTGCCAAATGAGGCAAACGGCGGAAATATGGCGAAAAACCTTTTTGTTCTTTTATAGTCCTTTTCTCGTGGACCCCACTTTCAATGCCTATTTCTAATTTTTTATTTTTTAATACCTTTTCTTTGACTTTTTTTTTCCTTAAAGCCCAATATTTTATTTAAGATTATTGCCCACATTCTAGGCCAAAAAATACATTATTTATGTCAAATCAATGAAAAATATATTGTTTAAAAATAAGAAAATGTTTTAGATTTATGTATATATTATTTTAATGAAAAATGTATGATTAAAATGATGTTAAATCACTGTGAAAAAATATATCTTTTGGAAAATAATATGGCTCAAACAAGCCAATTATCGACTACAAATTTTAGTACTATAATAGCCTACATTACTATAAGCCCCCGTTTGACACCCTTTAAAATTCTTCGATTTTAATTTAAATTCTTCTCTCTCTTATTTTAAACCACATAATCTTTAATAAAATAATATTATACACAAATCGAAAACTTTTCATCCTTTTACAGCCATTCATTTAAAAAAAAAACATTATTCCCCCTTATGAACTCAAATAATGGGAGCCAAACGAGGGCTAAAAGTTAAACTTTAACGTCTAAATTTAATCCATGTTTGGTCCTTATTTTTAAATTTTTTAAAATTCAAATTTAACCATAAATTCACAAGTTTTAGGCTTTTAGCCCTTGTTTAAGTCCCATTTAGGGGGATAAAATATAAATTTGAATAATGTATTGATGGAAAATGTGTTATTAAAAAAAAGAAAATATTTTGAATTTACGTGTAATATTATTTTATTGAAGAAATATGGTAAAAATGATGTCAAAATATTGTAGAATGATGCATTTTTCTAAAGAATGGACCTCAAACAAGGCGCCAGGGCAATCACATATTTTATCATTTTTTAAAATTTATTAAAATTTTGATTTTTATCAAACAAAAAATGGGCTTATGGTATTTCGAGTACAATCTTTTTACGTGCCGAGTTATAGATGGTGAACCGAATGTTTGAAACATTTTATTTAAAAATTATATTTTCTTAAATTCATTTTTACATACAATAATATTATTCTTAAGTAATCTTCGAAGATTATTAAGCTCATGTTTGATGATTATCATTGAGAAAAAATGATATTTTTAATAGTAATTTTTTTTTTTGAAAAATATTTGGTTAGAAAATAGGAAGAATTTTGAATTTATATGCAAAATATTTTATTACGTGAATATGTAGTTAAAAATAAGTATGAAAATTAAAAAGTTTAGTTTTATATGGGGGCAAAGTAGGGCTAAATTTGAGAATTTATTTATTTTATTGGGTTGTGTGAATTGAAAATAACGTTGGATCATGTATAAATGTGGAAACTTATTGTGTGTACAGAAACTACACACATAGTAGTCATACAGAACAAACACGACAAGGTTGGGTGAGGGAATTTTTTGGCATATTTTATCACAACATGAGTCTCACACATATAAAATTTTTGACAGAATTTTATGAAATAATTTTCTGTACAAATGGAATTATTCGTAAGTGTAAGCCACAAGCATCTATTGCACACAATTGTTACGCCACTCGCAATAGACACGTATTAGAACTCTGTGCCTATTATAATAGGCTATGTCATTGTTAATTGAAGACCTAAATTAAGTTCTATTTGAGCCACATTATTTAAAAAAAAAATTGTATTTTTCAACAGTGATTTGACATTATTTCGACCACATATTCTTCAATAAAATAACATCAAACTTAAATTCAAATTTTTTTTATTTTTTTAATCACATATTTTTTATCAATACACTATTCAAAAATACATTTTCATTTCAATAATGTGGCTCAAACAATGGCTAAATTAATCAAATTCAAATTTCATACTCGAAAATTTTTAAAAACATGAATCCAAATGTATGATTTATTAGCCCTCACTTCTAATGGACAAGTATAAGGATGTCAATTGGGCTCGTCGACTCAGGTCGTCGTGGCTCCCTCCGAAAAAAGCTCGAGCAGGCTCGACTCAAGGTTTGGGCTGAGGCCCATTTTGAGGTTCCGAGCTTAGCCTGAGTCGGCCCGTGTGGCTCGCCCAAAAAAAAAAAAAAGGTTTAATAAGTGCCAATAAAAAATAAAAAGAGAGGGGGGG